AACAAACATGAAATGAACCCTAAATACAACCACCGAAACTTTCAAACAATTTAATAACTTCTAAATCATATAATGAAACCAAAAAAAAATGACATTAATATTTTTATTAAAGAATAACCATTTAGTGAAAATATATAATATAACATAACAAATAAGTTTATAATTATAATAAATAAAATTAATATAATTATAATTAAAAATAATCATTTAGTGAAAATATATAATATAAATAAAACAAATAAATTTTATGATTATAAGAAATAAAATTCACGAGAAAGAGGATAAATCAGTTTACGCTATTAATCTTTATACATTTCATTAGATTTATATCAACGAAATAAAAATACTGAATCTCACTGATTTTTGGTTCCCTTTTTACTACCAAATTTAAGGTTACCTAGAATACAAAATGATATAAAAATAATTACAATTAATACATAATTAAAATAATTTGAAAACCAAGAACTAATAAGATATAAAAATAGACTAATTAAAACTTTCTGTAATATAACTTGAGTTTAATGAAAAGCTTTTTTCATGTGTTTGATGAGATTTTTTGTAGAGATTTAATAGTTAAGTAAAAGTTACAGAATACTTAAACATATTAAAAATTCTATAAGTTTGTAAAAACGAAAAATCTATTATCATATTGTTTTCCTTTACGTTTCATCAAACCTAAGGAAAATCACTAAATTTTCTTTTCATTTTAGGTAAATAAAATCAAATTTAGAATAATAATAAAAAAAGATTCAAACAATAAACAATGAGTAATAACTAACCAAAAAATATTTTACAAAAAATTAAAAATAAAATAATAACACACAACAATAAAGAAACAAAATTTGAGATGAACCACAATACATAACAATTCTCTGCAAAACACGTACTAATAATCTATGACATACAGATATTAATTTTTTTTTTAAATTCGAGAGACAAAAAAAAAGAAATAATTAAAAATAATTATATAATTGTCTAACTACCAGATATTTTGTTTTGTTTATGTATGTTTATATTCTAAAACTATTTCCTTTTTGTAGTTTTATAACACGAAAATTTAAATTTAAAATTTAATAAAAATATTTATTAAGAAAAAAAGAAACAAAATAATTGTTATTAATGGTAATTTGGTATAATTTTTACTAGAGAATAGAAATACCAATAATGAAAATTTTGATAATTAATTTATTTCATTAGTGGTATTAATGTAAGCAACCATTGTGAAAGTTAACTTGACTACTACACATAATAAAATAACTTCTCAAATAATATTATAAATATATTGTTTATCTATAAAGTTATATCTGTCACATGTAAAATATATTTATATTATATATTATATTCACAAAATGAATTTAAAATTGTTTGAAAAAATAAATATAAAAAATCAAAATACATAATGCACGGAGAAAAAACTCTAGTTCTTATTAAAGCGGACTAACTAACCGTAATTCTTTATAAACCTTACTAACTAACCATATTTTTATTTTCTATTAGAAAATACCTTAAAATAAGTAAATTATTTAATGTATTAGAAAATATGTAAATAAGAAAAACGTAAAAACATGCTTTTTAAGGTAACTCACATAATAATAATAAAAGTAAATATGTAATTTATGTGAAGAAAATCTATTAAATCATATTTTACAATTTTTAATTTTAAAAATTTCTTAATAAAATGAAAAGGAAAACAGAAATAGTGATAATGGCAATTATAATTATTAATTTAATTCATTGAGAGTATTAAAGTAACCAAATATCGTGAGAATTAACGTAAGGACGACACGTAGAAAAGTTACTTCTCAAATAATATAATAGAGATGTCACTGAGAAACTTAATAATTCTAACTTTTAAATTTATTGTATTTTTATCAAACTTAAAAACCATAAAACATACATAGATTAATAAACTAATTATGTTAAACATAAAATTAAAATAACTAACTAGTGAACATGAAAAAAATTAATGATATATTGATTAGGTAAACAACCTTAAAACCATGAAAAATCGATTTAGATATATTAAAACCAGTAATTTATCGGTCGCCTAAATATAAAGTTTTTTTGTTTGGACTAAAATCGGCAATAAAAATATGACTTTTAAGGATTTGATTGGTACATCAGATAATAAATCAGTAGCAGTATGATATATAAACAGTATGCTGCAGAAGTTGTATGCTTTCATTAAAGTTTTTAATAAAGTAATTGACAGATCATTAGCAGTATATAATTTTAAAATTATCATAATAGCAAGTATACTAATATATTCATTTAAAATAATATTTATATATTTAGAATATATATTAGTAATATATTAAAAATAATAAAATTAGTCATTATATAAATTATATTATAGTTTATATGTGAAATATTATATTTTAATTTTTTTTAAAAAAAAATAAATTTTAAATTAATCTGGATATAAATTTTAATATTATTCAATAAATAAATTATTTATAATTTTATAAATTTTCATTATTTATTTATAGAGCAGTAAATGATTCTTACATAAAATTATCATAAAATTAATATATATTAAATAATTTATTTATTAGTGTCTAAGTAATATATATATTTTTATATCTATAATTTATAAATATATACTATGTTATGTTTGTTATTAAAAATAACGAATCAAATGTGTAATTATATAAATTATTTTATATTTTAAATCGGAAATATTGTTCTGTTAAAAATGTTAAAAATATTTAATTGCAATTTTTATTTTTCAAAATGTAAATTTATTTTTGGAATATAAAAATATTTTTATATTATTAACTAAATATCAATTAATTATGTATAGTTTTTTTTAAGAAATTATATATTATAACTGTAATTGTATTCCCAAAAACTCCATAGGAGAACATTAGTATTTGTTAAATGTTTTTCTAAATGCTTTTTTGGAAAATATTGATGGGATAATATAGAGCGTAGTGTTAATGTTAACGCTTTGCCAATCAAACCCTATCACATAAAGTGTTGAAAAAAGTTAAGATAAATATGAACTTGATCAGGATAAAAATAGATCCCTCTCACAAGGATATAATACAGTGAAACCTCTATAAATTAATAATGTTAGGATTACACCAAAATTTTATTTTTTATTAATTTAGAGATATATTAATTTATCGATATACTAATCGAACCAAAATTCAATTTGAGACAATAAAATTATATTATTTTATAGAGATATTTAGTGTATATTAATTTATCGAGTATTAATTTATGGAGGTTTTATTGTAATACAATAAAAGGGAAACAAATTTCTATTATTGTAGAATTTTATAGCTTAGAGTATATCCACTAATGATTACGAATAGCAAAGACCAAAGAAAGAAATAATATTTTAATAACATTTTATAATGTTATATATATATACTAGTATTATCCCCGTGCGTAGCACGGATGAAGTTTTCTTCTTCGGAAATTTAAGAAATCATCTACAATGTTAAACTACAACAACAAAGCAAAATAAAATTGTATAATATTTTATTTAGTTAAACATGAAATAGGATAAATGTAAACGCACATGAACATGTTTTCAAACAATTCAAACTACAGATATATGTAAATATGTAATTCGTTCATCGAAAAATTGAATATACCTTTATTACCTCTGTTGCTGGTGAATTTTTAATTTTCCATTCTGTTATCAAAGACATAAGCTTTGATTTAAGTGACATCTTCAATCCTAAACATACAAAACAAAATCAATTATAATTGTCTATAGATTTTTGGTATGGCAATTTTTCTGTTGCAGTTAAATAATATATAACTTAAAATATTACTTTTTTTTATCTCTGAAACATAAAAGAAAAAATAGCAATAGAAGAAAAAATAGAAAAAGGTCACTTGTAGCACCAAAAAAAAGCTCACTCTTCTACTTACCGATTGTTAACCAACTTCTTCATCTCACCTTTTTTTGGTTCCAGTATGAAACATAGAGGAAATAAAAAAGAAACTCGCAACATGAGTAAGAACTGAAAACGGTGATGATTCCTCTGCAAAAAAAAAAAGAACACAAAAAACTAAAAGAATTCAATTTGTACAACGGAACATTATTAATTGCTGAGACTCAAAATATTTTATCAGTTACTCATTTACTAAAAAATTTATTGCCACCATCAGCTTGAAGATTCGTTTAGAGCCGAAAGAAAAGAAGATTAGATGTTGTCGATATCAATTGAAAAGAGAGATGAAAGCATCAGTTATCTTATGGAAGAATTTAAACTGTTTGAAACCATTTTATAAACAAATTTGTTGTATAACTGATTTTAATGTGGGATGAGGAAGTGGAGATTGTGGCATGCAAAAATAAGTTATTTCTTCTTTCTTTCCGTTGAAAATAGGATAAACAGTTTTGTCTCAATTTTTTTCTTTAACTATTTTTTTTAAAATGAAATTTAATCCATGTGGCAAGACATGATTGGGCGTGCGACTTGCGCTTTAGTATATAAGGGATATATTGTGCGATAGTGTTTCTTCTCTAGTTTCTTTTTTAACGAGAATACTAGCGTTAGTCCTAGAGCTGGAGGTATGTTTTGATCCAATTTCTAATAGCTGTACGATCCCTCCTGCAGATATTTCTAAAATCAGTTTCAGAAATAAGGTCAAATGGTAACTAAAGCCAAAACAAAGTGAAGTTTTAGACCTATCGTCGTCTGATTACCAGACTGGAATTCCAGCCCTAGTAAGGCATAGACCACATTGCTCTCCAAATTTTTTGGGAACTATAGCTGTAGCAAAATATAACCGAAAAGAGTCTATATCATCTAATTGTTATCTAAATATCAATGGATGACAATATAACTTGTTACACATACAATTTTCGTTTGTAAGTAAGATTGGTAACGATGCAGCAAGAGTTGCAGATACAGTGAGGGAATCAATATGGTACAGAAAGTTTCTGCAAGATTGATTTAGTTTCCATGTTTAAATGGTATTTAACTTAGATTCAAGAAATATAAAAAATATCATAATGTGTCAGTAGAAATATTTACCTCCAGGAAGGTAGCCAGCCGTTGATCCCTAGAACAGCGTTTAGGCCCATATTTCCCATACCTCCAACCACATAACCACTTGTAGTATTGAGAGAAGGCAAATCATCTTCCATGTCATCAAAAACTTGTGTGACGTCGCACCCTAGTTAATTCAACATATTGTAAATACAATCTTGTTAGTTTTCAATTAAAAGTTTTGGAAGATAACGTGTATTTCAAGTTTAAAGCTAACTGGTGATCTTACAAGCAGTGGTTTCCGCTCCACCCAAGCTAGAAACGGGACGTGTAGGAGCAGTAGGACAAATCCATTTAATCTATATATGCATATCCATCATAAATTCAATTATAAATTTCAACCAAGTTTCCATTTGGCAATACAAACAGATTTATGAAAAAACATGTTCACGGATCTGTACATTTCCAAGTTGCAACTGTTCTACAAAATGAGCTGAGCTGCAGAAAGAATTAACATATATATAATAAGGAACAAATATTAAAAACGTAGAAAAACAAGAGTTTAATTAGGTATATACAAGCTATATGAAATGGTCTTAAAATCTCATTAAAATAAGAAGACTAAGGAAAGGAACAAAAGAGAACACCTAAAGGTTTGGTTGGCAAATCATTTACAGCATCATTATGCTACTTATTATCCGATCAATTATTATTAGAATAGCATAGTCACTTATATATATATTAAATTATATTTAACTTGAAATATTTTTCATTTGAAAAACTTTAATTGTAAAATTAATTCTACCGATCAAAGTCATATTGAAATTCTTAACTATAGAACCTTCCGAAATCTAATTCTTTTAAAACATCTCCAGTTTTAGTTTTTGTTACATTTAAAAAAAAATTGAAGATCATGTTTTGTTTGTTGAAAAGAAATGAGCATATGTATAAAAAACGCAAATAATGCATGCGAGAATGTTACTAGTGGCCATTTTCCCCGATGTCATGCAACCAAACTATAGTGGCTTTGTGGGTTCCTGTAGGACGAACAAGCGTAGTGTCGCCATATGCAATCCCATTATTATCTGTAAATATTTCCACAAGACACAAATTCATTATATAGCCAATTAGAAACTTGAATATATATCCTATAATATGCTTCTGTAGTTACGAATCGTAACTACGGAAGAAGTATAAGCAATCAACGATGAAAAACATACTAAGATCCATGTTCTCAAGATAACTGCTTATTTTTCAAAAGTATTTTTCGTTTCCGAGAAGCTTTTAGATTGCGTTAGAGATGGAGAATGTAAGGTAATATTTTGTGTATTTATAACCAAAGGAGTGCTAGGAAAAAATATATTTGTCTTAAAAGATGGATGCATGAAAACATCTGGTATTTGAAAATTGGTTGTATGAGGAGATCTTAAAAATTAGATGAATCTTAATAGTGTGGAATTGTGGATAGGCGGATGCCGCGGATCTAGAATCCCCTATATATTAATTGAGAAACATTTGAAAAGATGTAACCTCAAGTTTGTATTAATTAAAAAGTAACCTTGCTTAGTTGTCAATCAATTAGCATATCAATTAAACTGACGTGGCGGCTTTAGGTTCAATTGAAATTTGCTAGGGAAAAATAATTAGAGACGCATATAACGAATGTAACATAGTTTATATATTTATATATATCGCACGCATGTAATGGAAGAAAAGGAAAATATACGATTTGATAACGATTTGCATATATTAACTATAATAACTTCATTCCTTTTAATTTATGGAAGTGTATATGTAAAATGGAAAATATTTAAATTCAAATAATCATAACGTAATTAATAAATCATTGGTGTAAAGTTTTGTTACACAAATATGCAAATAATCATAAAATCATATGAGTAGAAACCTCATTTAATAAATATCCATATTAAAAGTGTGCTATATTACTATGTTTATATCATTTAAATTTAATTATATATCATATACAATATATAAGATTGATTATTTTGATTTATTTACCCTAATTGTGAATAAACA